TGTTTCTCAGACGTACTCATACACACCCATGATACCCAGGACTCAATTCTCCGAAGCCTTCACTGGTGCACAAATGGGAGAAACCCTCGAGGGCGTGACAGTGCAGCCACATTTTCACTCTCCGACCTGGTTAGGCTGCTCGGCTAAGGCTCATCAAGTTGGATGACGGACATTCCCGAAGGCCGGCAGGGCTCGGCAAGCGTGACGATTCGTGACCTTCTGCGCGGAGAATCGTCCGAACAATGGGGTCAGCCCTGTATACCCCCCTCTCTAACACTCATTTCTTCTCCAATATATCTCATCTTTGGCATGCAGCATAATTTTATATGTGACTGCTTGCATGCAAAAAATGAATGTTATCGGAGGATAGGAAGGTACATAGATCAAAGGAATCATGCGGTGGGCGCCTTGTCGTCCGAACACTGGGGTCGCGATAGTACAGAGGTCTCCGCAGACTCTCATGTTCGCTCATGCTGTGCACATCATCCTAAACAGTCACACCGCCTGTAGTGGGCGGCTGAGGTCAGTCTAGGGGATGGGATCTTGGGACTGTCTCGTATGTCTCGGTACGTGAGTCGGCTCTTCGGACGGACGGACGCGACATATCGGAATGGGTGCTTGTATACGAAAGCCGCAGTGCAGCTTCGGAGAATGCACGGGCGGGGGAGGATTGTATAGGAGGGACGGAGGCAGGTGCGAGGAGCAGCGTAATGCAAAGCGGGATGGATCGGGTTGGGCGTGAGGCCATGGCAGATGGAGCATGCGCATATTTGAACGGGGGGAGAATGCTCTGCAAATACCTTAAAACTCACCGCTGTCCATTCTCCTGTCCTCCGTAGACGGTCGCACTCGCGTGTGCCACGCTCATGTACCCATATACCATATGCGGCCGCGCTTATTCAGCCTTGCGTTGCAACACGCTCAAGACTGTCTGGGTCAGTTTGGCAGATGAGCGGGTCCTCTTGTGAATCATTTATAGCGTACAACTATATATGTTGTTAATCCGTTTGAAGACCAACAGCTTGTGGGCTGGATACTCACAGAGGGATGATCACGCGGTTCAGTACGACACGCGCATAAGGAGCGAGTCTCGCTCGTCTCCCTCATTCAAATTTTGACAGGGCAGACACGCGTAGGATGAGAAGCGCGAGGGAATAGTATAAAAACAATGCCGGAAGACAGCGCACAACCCATAGTCTGTAGTCATAATGCACAGAGAGCGAGCCCTCCAGAAGCGAGACAGGCTGTCGCCTTCGTTCAACACAAGCACCTTCATCTGCCACGCTGATCGCGTTCTCTCCCCGCCTTGTCTGCCTCTCAGCTTCGCACTTGGCGTTCATGTCCCACCTGGTTGTCCGCACCTATTCAAATGACGCGTTCCGGGCTGTTTCTTGCTATATATCGCTTCTGAACTCCGCCTGTGTCGTGCGAGCACCTTCCCCATGCCATACATCCACCGAGGCCGATTGCGCTGTGCAAGCAGCCTCGGCGACCTCTCCAGCCCCTCTCCTCACCTGTGGGACATCGCCCTGGTTCCCCATGCGGCTCCTGTTGGAATCCTGGCGTCAAGATGGCGAGCTCGCGGAACGAGCGCCACAGGTCCCGCCCCCCGACGGATACCCGCGCCCTTATCTACCCCTATTCTACTGTGTATATAAGGTCTATTGTATGTACTATGTACGGCACGCGTTTGCACCGGCCAAACGCGAATCCCATTTGTGCCCGCTTGCCCTCGAACTTCTTCACAAACGCGTCTCCTCTGCCCGAAGGATAATTCGAGGCACTGCCTAGTGGGGCCGAAGCCACTCGACGATCCCGTGAACCGACGACCCGTGACGACGACCGACCCGACGACGACCGACCCGACGACGACCCCGTGCACCCCGACGACCCCGTAACCGTGACCGCCCCGCGCTCCCCGCTGCTCCCGCCCCGATGGCACCGCCCACAATTGCGAAGCTCGCCGACGACAACTACGCCGAATGGGTTATCGGCATGGAGGCCCTCCTTGTTCGCAAGGGTCTCTGGGAGGTTACGAGCGCCCCTGCTGATGAAACCCGCCCCTCCGGCTC